ATTGGATTTGGTTTGAAACCTAATTGTTAATTGGGTGTTATTTGTTTGTTAGCATGAGGATTCCATCGGATCAGTAGTCAAAGATTTATTTGTGGGTTCAGCTGTCGAGGTGAGTCTCCTTGCTGTACTAGGGGTCGAAGGCACCAATGATGGTCCATTTGGTTTGTGTGTTATAGGAAGACAAGGGGTGGACCTTGACATTTGTATGAAAGACCAGGAGGTGGCTCTTGGCAGATATGTATGCAAGAACACCATTTAATGAAAGTATCCAACTTTATTAACCCAAAAACTCATCCGAAGAAATTTGTTGTAAAACTTAAGGGCTTTTATTTCACTTGTCCTTATATTAACAATACACATAGAGGGACTAAAAGGAGGAGGCGAAAAATTATTTATGAGTTCATAATATCCTTTTAAACATTGGGGCCTTTAAAAACTTCTCTATCGTAATGCTTGTTTTTATTGTCGTCTTTGTTCTAGCATCTTGTTCTAATGTCATCATTGCTTTGACTGTTTTAAATATAACGAAACTGAAGCTATTATAGTATATATTACATAAAACAACGAAATGACATGCAAGCCATGTAATATATTAAAACAACAAAAACACGATGTATCCATACACACGAACAAATCTAAGCAAAAACCACAAAAAACCAAACAAAATTCAAAATTCGGCTAGAGAAAACCAATTTGTGCAAATTGTACACATATACGTCAAAAGATAAGACATCTTCCTATTTTTTTTTCTTGATCCAATTCATGACACTTAATTTTATCTGAAATCAAAAGTTCAAATATGCACGTATGTTGTATGGTACCATTTTCATACACATACTATTCAAATTGGTTATCACAATCACATGTAATAAGAAAATATATATAAAAAAAAAAACAAAGTTATTACCCATCCATGGGCGGACCCATAAATTGGTGTTAGGGGTAGCACAAAATACTGATAATATATAATTAGATAAAAAAATTGAAAATTACGGTTTTATTAGATATAACAAACTAGTGTATATATATATTACATTTTTAAAGTTCACCTATTTGTTTACTCATTGTATGAAATGGTTCATTATTTTTTCAATCATAACATCTATAAGTATTGTTTTTTTTTTCCTACACTTCAAACTATGCATTTTTCATAAAATCATTGCCCACTTTTATAACTACTACCAAAATCCAATTTTCTTATATTTTTTTTCAATGAAACCCTACAAACACAATTAAAAATTAAAATTCATAATTGAATATTTAAACCTAATTCACCAACAACATTAGTAAATAACAAGTGAAGGACTAACTGACTAATTTTAGAGATTCAATTTGAACAACTAAATTAAACTAACACAAATAAAACACTGAAGATTTAAGTAATACTTGTTTATTTTTGCTTGTGGGAAGAAAAGCCTAGTTTTTGAGAGGAGTGAGAAAGTAAGAGAAGAAAGCCAAGCTTTTATGATTTGTGTTGTTGACTTGTAGCTAAGTATGCCGTATGCGTTTTGAGTAATTCACCATCATTGAGGAACTAATTCACGTAGTGACCTAATTGGCTAATTGATCCACATAATGGGCTATTTGTTTAGCCAATAATGGGCCTTTTAAGTGGAGTTACACCAGGTGCACATTAGATAAAATATATAAAAAATCCAATTCTTTTATGACTTATGGGAAGATACTGAGGGGACCATCAAAATTTGAGACAATTCTAGATTTGGAAAACTTAGTTGCACGAATAGGCACGACACATACTAGATATAGTAACTAGAAGCTAAGTTATAACCTACTAGAAACTTGGAAACAACTAGAAACAAAGGATAATGTACTTAGATTTCACATTGATATGTGAATTCTACAACTACTTAACTGTAGTGACTATCCATATTCGTGTCACTCTTTAACTCTGACACATTTTCATGAATCATATACACACATCATGTACTTTATCTAGTAATAGAAAGTCCGAATCTCATAGGAACTTAAGTCAAAGTTGAAACTAGGACTAGTATACTTGATTCTTCAATTTCGCTTGAATCTCGGAATCAATACATAGAAATGCTAATAAACCGATAAAAATAAGTTACAAACATTATTTATAATTTGAATACGAGTTAGGAAACCCAAAAATAATTTGAAGTCCCAAAAATTCAATTTATTTCGATATCCAAAGATTTATTAAATCTCAAGACACTAAAAACCCTAAAAACTCAAATTTATAAACTTTAACACCTAAAAATCCATAAAATTTGGTATGAACTTTATAATATCAAATTAAAATAATTAAATTCAGGAAAATATAACCAAGAAAAATAAAAATTAGTCAATAACATTTACCCTTAATTTATAAGTCAAAAATCAAGGTTTTATGAATAAAAAAACTAGGATATGATGCATATTTTATAAAAATTTGATATTTTTATAAAAGATTTAGATTTTATAAAATTTAAAAGAGGGAGCCCCTTTCTGCATTCAAAAAATTTGGACCTCTCTCTCTCTCTTACTTCATCACTCCCTCAAAAGTCACACACCACTCATTCATCGTTATTCTTCACTTCAAATTTTCTCTCTTCCTTCTCTCTAAAGGAAATCCAATGTTAGAGGCAGAATAACTGGGAGAGATTTTTACATTTGATTCTTCATAAGTTTAAATACATCTTTATATTTTTGTGGACAATTTTGGTGGAGAGAAACCCCAAAAGAGATTACGAGAGAGATTGGGTATCCAGAGATATGAAATCTTTCTTTTCTCTTTTTTCTTCTCTCTAAAACCCTCATTCCCTCTCTTCATTTCACCCATGAAAATTTCCAGCAAAAACAAAAATATCCATCTTCCATATGGACGCATCAAGGTAAAAACACTTAAATCATGCATGCAAGTTTCTATTTTCTTTCTTATGATTTTATGTGCTAAATCTTTATCTTCATCTCTTCTTTTTATAATATCATCATCATTTTCGGATTTTTGATGATGTTTGTATATTTTTATCAAGAACATATTGCATGTTGCTTAGATGGTGAAAATCCATGAGCAAACCTATGTTAAGATCTTGATTTGAGCCATGCATGTGCAAATAACATGAAAAATCGACTTCTACTCCTTCACCTTCTTCAAAATTGTTTTACTATGGTTAAAATTCTTTTTATAACATTATGAATGTGTTTTGACACCATACATGTATGATAAATAAGGTTTCATGTTCATGATCTTAGTGCAAAAATCGATTTTAAGGATTAAAACATCAAACTCAAGTTAAGAGTTTTTGACAAACAAAATTTTGTTCATAAATGCATGTATGCATGTTGATAAGTTTTAATCTTTTGATCTCTCGAAACATGACTAGAACATGAATTTATCATGATATCTTTAAAATATATCAAAGGATTTACTCAAAGTAATAATGAAAACTCACTTTTCTAACCTATCATTATGCATGCAATCAGCCAAATTTATTTACCTAACTTTGGGAGAAGACATAGAAGATGGAGAGAAGTGGAAGTAAAACAGTAAATCGATGGTTAAAGAGGAAAGAAATTAGGAGGAGATAGAGTCATAGAGATAAGAGAAAGGAGTTCATATGTGGAAGAAACATGAAGCACAACAGATGTCGGTGAGGCAGTTCTGTAACCATTCTATTGGAGAATCAAAGGCGGTGCAAACTGAAAATTAAAGCAAGTAAAAAAGGTAAAGATAGAAGAGGGAAAAAACACGTATATGTTTGGCTGTGGTCATTAAAACATGTGGAAAACATTCTATGAAAGGATTATACAAAGAGATGACTAAAACCCGTGAAACAAAAAGAAAAATAAATAAAACAACCCACTAATAGGAACAAAGTACTGTTTCTAAAGAGGGTTATATATATATATAAAAAGATAAAAGTAAAATGATATTTTTGCATACCAAATTTAATAGAAAACAAAAGAACATTATCTTAGAGCCAAACGACAAAACAAACACCAGGGTACACATGCATTGAAATTAGACAAAAATATATATATTTTTTATACATGATCATTCATGTAATTTACTTTTTAGTTTATAGATAATTGTGAGAGAACTAATATTAATTTATATATGGCTAATTAACTGATATTATTTTACTAAGATTTAGTTTTGTTGCTTGTTAAATAATTTTATTTTTATGTAAATTTATATTATTTAGTTTGATATCGTTTTAATGTATTTTTTTATACTAAGTTTTAAAATTTTAAAATATCATTTCTTTTAACATCAAGACTTTATTAAAAAGCAATTGCTATCAACCCATAAATGCTAAAGATTACAAGGTAAAATATCAGTGCATGGGTTATTAACCTAGAAATCCCACACCACCTCCTTCTAATCTATCTTAATTACTTTCACACAAATACTGAGTCATAGTTTGCTTTGAGGCACATCAGTTCAAGACGTATGTTTTAGATTTTTGGGATAGGAAATCTTGGAACTACGTAACTAAAGATTACATGTGTCGTTCTTTGGTTGGTGGCTGGATAGTTGCTGTTCTTAGCCATCAAAGATATCATCCTCCAATCAAAAGAAAGCTAAAGATCCGGAAGATAAACACCAAAGAAATTAGATAATCCACAATCCTATTTATAGCACTTGTGAAGAGCTCAACAGACTCAAGCAGTCAGCTAGCCTCCAATATTCAGTATATAATTTGAGAAGATATTCAATGGCTGCTTCCAGCATGGCTCTCTCATCTGCTTTCGCCGGACAAGCGGTGAAAACAGTTCCATCAGGTTCTGAGGTGTTCGGAAATGGAAGAGTTTCAATGAGGAAAACGGCAGCTGCAAAGAAGGTTGCACCATCAGGAAGTCCATGGTACGGTCCTGACCGGGTGAAGTACCTAGGCCCATTCTCCGGCGAGGCCCCATCGTACCTGACCGGTGAGTTCCCCGGTGACTACGGGTGGGACACCGCTGGGCTTTCAGCAGATCCAGAGACATTTGCAAAGAACCGTGAGCTTGAGGTGATCCACAGCAGATGGGCGATGCTTGGAGCTCTTGGGTGCGTCTTCCCTGAGCTGTTGGCTCGTAATGGTGTGAAGTTCGGTGAGGCTGTATGGTTCAAGGCTGGATCCCAGATCTTCAGCGAAGGTGGTCTTGATTACTTGGGAAACCCTAGTTTGATCCATGCCCAAAGCATCTTGGCCATCTGGGCCACCCAAGTCATCTTGATGGGTGCGGTTGAGGGTTACAGAATCGCCGGTGGACCCTTGGGAGAGGTTGTTGACCCACTTTACCCTGGTGGTAGCTTCGACCCATTAGGGCTTGCTGATGATCCAGAGGCTTTTGCTGAGTTGAAAGTAAAGGAGCTCAAGAATGGAAGACTTGCCATGTTCTCCATGTTTGGCTTCTTTGTTCAAGCCATTGTCACAGGGAAGGGGACCACTCGAGAACCTCGCTGACCACCTTGCTGACCCCGTTGCCAACAATGCCTGGTCTTATGCCACAAACTTTGTTCCCGGAAAGTGAATGTAATCAATGTCTTATGTACAATATAATATGTGAATTAATAAGAAATATGCATGGTTTTTATCACTTCATTCACCTTATAACACATAGTAAATCAGATCATATATTATATTGAAAAATGGATATTTAAGGGATTGAGGACATATTATTCTCTGTAGTTTAATGCTGGATATTCATATTGACTCGTTTCTCAATCATAATTGAATCTGTTGCTTTCATCGAGTTATACTTAATTTGGTGATTGAATTAAAGAACATAAAGAGTAAACATTGTTAATTTTGTTGGCAATATGAAAATAAGTACATGATTCTTTTGGCAGTTAAATGGTGGTTCCGTTCTTTTACCATTTTTTTAGCCCAAGAGTCTGGCCGGTTCTCTATGTTAGCAATGTACAAAATACAAATATAGCCAATGATAAAATCCTAAAATACTACCATTCTATCTTTAAGGAGTGATGTTGAACGAGTAAGGCCACAATGCATTCAACTCCATATAATTCAATTGATTGTCACATCATCTTTCTACAGTTCATATAATTTTATCATTTTTTTTTCCTACAATGCATAGTTTAATAGAATGTTACAAAATGTAATTCATAGTAAATATTTAAAAATTAAAAACTTTTATTTTTCCCATTGAATAGTTTAATGACCATTAAATTTCAAATTCATTAAATGTCATTGTGACATCTCATAGAGTTTCATTCGTTGAGGATTTGTCACCTCATTCAACTTTCAAATTGAACTCACCATTATGGATGCTTTAAATCCCAATAATTGGCTCAAGATCATTTTCAAAATAAGATTTAGGTTTCCTAAAATACTACGATTTTATCTTTAGAGAATAAACACTCAATTTTTTTTTGAAAAAAAAAAAAGATAACTTAAATAATGGATGTAATGATTCACAGACTTATTATAAATACAGAAATACAAATAAAGTTTTTTTCCTAATGTTAATAGGTAAACAATGTTTTATTGGTTTAAGGAAGCCCTTTAAACATTCTACATCCATATTTACTTATTTACCTTATTATTTTTTTCCAGTCTTATTTCTTAAAGAAACCTTTATTGTAAATTGATTTGGTATGATTGTATGCAGTGGCGGCTCTAGGAGAGTGCGGGTGATACGGTCGTATTGGGCTTCCAAGCTTAAAGGGTCTTCAGTTTCAACTGTCTTTTAATATTATATTACTATAAAATTAAAAGATAAAATAAAAATATATTAATTAAATTATACTTGCATGATATGTCAGTATCATTCATATCTTGTTAGCACATCTTATTAGTAATACATTAGGTTTGTTAAATGTAACACTCAGTTTTAGATTTGCTTATTTATTCGGGGCTGCAACAATAAGATTCATATTTAATGGATACATCTCGTCTTTTCTTTTGGACTTTAGAAGCACTGTTTTGGTCTTCTTTTGTATGATCTTGGATCCCTCATCATCAAACAACACTTTCAATCCAGTACCTACAACTAATTGAGATACACTAACCAGGTTGTGTTGAAGGCCTTCCACGTAGGCTACTTTTCGAATGAAGAATTCCCTATTCGTAATCATTTGTATCCCTTAATTTCTCCGAGTGAGTTATTTTCGCATTTGAATCTTCCCACATCCTTCAATGATTTATATTATCTAAATTCTTCCTTCCTTGTTGTCATGTGACGCGAGCAACCACTATCAATATACCATTTAGAGTCAATCTGGTCGTCACGAATCACTGTAAAATTTAAAGAGACTTAGGAACCCAAAGTTGTTTGGGTCCTCGTGAGACTTTTGTAGAAACAGAAACTGTAATTGCTTCATTAACCAAGTAGGATCTTTTCACCAAAGTTGAATTCTCTTCTTTTGTTATTTTAAAAACAATAATCCTATTATCATTAGGATTCATTTTAAAAGAAGTTTTTCTATGTTTAGCTTTGATTTGTTGTTTGACAACATCTTTCTTAACCTTCTTTTGCTCATTTTTCAATTGTGTTTCAGACTTCTGTAAAATAGTGTTAGATTCTGAAACAACCTTTCCCTTGCCCTTAACATCTTTCGATGTGTTGACAAGTTTTGAAATATTAGATTTTGGAGCAAATTTGGGTTTTGTCTTCTCCAAAGGTTTTGCTTGTTTTGAAAACGAGGGTTTTTGAAAAGCCTATGGGTCGGCCTTGGTGCCTAAGACCCATTGGTATAGTGAGAAGCCTCACTTTTCTTAAATGCTAAAACTGATAATGCAAGAACCAAATATATCCCACGTGTTGCTCCAACTCAACTGCCTGTAAGCATCATAAGATGGACATGTCAAAATCCCATAATTACCCTCAAGGTCAACCCTGGTCAACCTTGATCAAAGTCGAAGTCAACAGTCAAAGCCAACACTCATAGTCAATAGTCCATGTTGACCTCAACTCATCGAGTGCAGCTAGCAACTCGTCGAGTTCCTATGGGGTCCAGATAACCTGATCAAACCCTAGCCAATTCGCCGAGTTGTTTCATCAACTCGACGAGTTCACTTGATATTTAAAAAGCGGTGAAACCCGATCCGACTCGTCGAGTTCCTAGAGCAACTCATCAAGTCCCCCTTCTTTTGCTTGTTGTGATGAAACACCAAATCCAGATCCTCCAGGTCTTAGATCTAATACCCTAAGGTGTCTAGAAGGATAAAGTTTCCAAATTTACCTTCTAGAACCGTTCCAATTGCTCCTAGGTCCTAAATTGTGACAACTATCAAATTCCAGTCAAGTCAAAGTCAACTAAAGCCAACAAGTCAAACCGATCGACTCAACTAACCCTTGTGTTCTAGGGCTTACGTTAGGTAATTACTATACAACTCGTAATTCTAATGAGAAATCATAAATTGAAAAGTTTGGACATCTAGATTCTCTTAACCTAAAACTGTGGTAAGTAACGAACCAAACCGATAAAACAATGTTGCACACTCATCGGGAGTGTATAGGACCTTAAAACATGGCTTGACGAGGTCTACGGACCTTGCGTTGCGGAGCCAAACACTCACAAATATCACACACGAAACCTCTCTCAATCGTTTTCACTCTATCTCTTTGTATGTGGAATCTCTCCAAGAATGTCAAATCTCTCCCAAATCCATCTTTGTATGTGAAATATCTCCCAAATCTCTCTAAGTATGTGAAATCCCTCCCAAATCTCTCTTTGTATGAGAAATCTCTCCAAGTATGTGAAATCTCTCCTAAATCTCTCTTTGTATGAGAAATCTCTCCAATAATGTGAAATCTCTCCCAAATCTCTCTCAAAAGTTCCTTAAACTTTTTATAGTCTTTCGGGCCATCCCGACCCTTAACGGGGTAAAAACGAGTAAAATAGGCTTAAGGACCCGAAACCCCTCTTAAGGAGCCGAACTTGTCAGAAGCGAACCTCCCTTCGGACCGAAGCTCGTAGACCCGAACCTCGCACAAGGCCCAAACCCGAGTCTCGGTCCATTTCACTCCACATTGCCTTTCGGTCCATTTCGCTCCTGCTGCTTTCGGACCGAACCGCCCTTCGCTTCTTGCTGTTTCGCTTCATTTCGCCTTCGTCCCTTGATCAGTAGGGACCGAACCTCCGGCCCAATCCGAGAAGTCTCGCCGTAATTGTTTTAAGGCAGGATTTTCACCCAAAACTTTATTTTAACATATAAGGCCCCATATTTACTAATTATCTATGTTTTTGGGGATAAACCTTATCCAAGAAGAGTGGGTGAAGTACAAGAGGTGGAGTGTTGACTTTGCTTTAATCTATGATACAAGCAACCTCCCATACCCACTCCATATCACTATTCCCCATCAGCCCATACCTAGTCACTTCATTGTACTTTTCCCACTTTTTTCCAACCACACAATTGGTCAAAGGCTAGAAAACTCTCCTCTCTCCTCACACTTCTCTCATTTGCTTATTCTTCCACCAAATATCAAACATATTTTCTCTCTCACTTCCTCTCTCTAAAAATTCGAGATTCAGGAGTTGATCTTAGATTTTTCCTCCACATTTGGTAAGTATCTTCCTCCTACACTTAGATATTCTACTATCCTTCATCCAAATCATAGATTGCTTACACAAATATCGTCATATTTGTTGTTAGATCCTCAAATCTTCAAGCATCTCCCAAGTGTTCTTGAGTTGAACACTTCTTTTCTCCATCATCCATCTATTGAAATCACTCAAGGTGAGTTCATACCCATACATTTTCATGTTTTCTTAAGTTTTTAAGGGGGGAATACAAGTTAAAACACTAAGAATATAACTAAACTTTTCTAACAGCTTTCATCAGAAAAGTTGGACTCCATTCACAGACTGTTTTGGGCAACTTAAACATTTTTGTTTTCAAAACTTAAACATTTTTGTTTTCTACGATTTATGGTGATTTTTACAAAACTGCCTATCATTTCAAACACCAATCCAGACCAGTCTGTGATTATGGACTTTTTCATACAAGTTGGAGGTCCTAAGAAATCATGATAAAAATTATGAGTAAACTAGACACATTTTAGAAACTCTCAGAATTTACGGATTTAGTTTTCGACTTTGTATGATTTTTCTATGACTTTTCTAAAATGATGCAGAAAGGTTAAAAACTTGTTAACAACTTATAACCTTCATGACACTTTGTATTATGTTGAGCAAAGTGTATAACCATGAGTTCTAAATATTGAAGGTGTTTCCTTGTTAGTTTATCATCATAAACTGAAACTTAGTCATTTATGATAAGATTATTCATTCATTTAGAACACATATATTAAGTTATAATAAGCATAATTTATGGATTTATAACACTAATGTGTTTTCATAAAAGAGTACTTATACATTACAATCATTTCGGATAAACTATAATAGGTATAGTTTATGTATCATTTACTTCTCAAACTTATTTATCAAAGGTTTTCAATTTAGTTCACGTAAATCTGTTAATGAATAAATTTGTGA